TATAGCACTTGGGTGTTGATCTGTGAGTGCCTTGGGTGGGGCCTGGATGAGGCTGGTTGACCTATTTGGAAATATCTTTTGTGTGAAGTGTATCACTGGGCATGTGGAGGTATTATTGATATGAGAAAATACTAAGTAACTGATTTACTATCTGAAAAGGGATTTACTATCGGGGAAAGGGAGGGAGGAAGAGACTGAACATAAACTGTGCACCTATGGATGAGGACAATGGGGGATGGGGAGGGGGCAGAGGGTGGGGTGGGAACCTGGTGGAGGGGGGAAGAAATGAGGAACCTTTGTAATAATATGAACAATAAAGATTGATTAAAAAAAATAAATAAATAAAAATGCCATAAAAAAAAAAGATCCAATAACATCTACTTAAAGACATCAAGCGGCTAATAACATAGTGTACAATTGTTAGGGTAGGACCCATGGAAGGGCAGCAGCTCAGAGAGAAGATCCTATTGATTAAAACCTCTCTTCTTTTGGGGGATCATTTACTTATTATAGAAGGGATTGTTGAGAGGATGCGAAGCTGAAGACTCTTTGGATAGCCTAGTCAGGCTAAGGAAACAGGAAAAGGACGTGGTTCAGCCGAGAAGGGGTGCTCCTTTGCTTTGTGTTGGGATCTCAATGCACCTCCGTGGTAGTAAGGTTATCCAAGAAAAGGCAGATTCTTGCAGAAATTGCAGCTCAGTTTTGAATAATTTTAGTCACTGAATTTGGCTGAAGGTCAGCTCATATTGCTTGAAGTGTGTCAAGTGCCTACCAGAAATAAATAAAAACTTCTCTAGAGGAAGAATACCTCATTCTGTAGACAAATTACATATCTGGCCTACAATTTTAAATAAACAGGCACACTAAAGACCAAAAGAAGAAAAAAAATAGTGAAAACAAAAGCAGTTACAGACTTTAACTCTATTCATTATATTCGGGGAGATAAAATAAGAGCCTGTGAAATTTGGCAGAGAACTAGGAACTATAAAAATTTCAAAAAAGTCAAGTCTGCAACTAAAAATTAAAACTGAAATGAAAACCTGAGCGGGTATTTTTAATAGCAGATTAAATATCGCTGAAAAGAGATTTAGTGAGCTGGAGTTGTGTGTTGAAAGAAGCATAAAGAAACAAAGGAAGACGATATAAAATGGAAAAGGAAAATTACACACATAGAGAATGTGTGACGATCAAACATTTGGTAGTTTAATTGCTAGAAGGGAAGGAGAGTAAGAATGGGACAGAAGGTTCTCCCCTGGCTCAGCGCCCTTGGATACCGGTGGTCCTGCGGAGAGGAGAGCATCTCTGCAACCACGTGGGGAAGGCCATGGGGCCTCCACACTTGGACTAAAGGACGTTAATTGGCTCGGATCCTGAGCTGTAACATGGAAAGGAAGCTCCGGACACTGGCCTGCTCCTGGGACCCCAGCTGCTCCTTTTCCAGGACTGGCTCCTCCCAATAATCTTTGGTTCATTCATCATTTTTGTCCTAGGACTTCATCCTTCGATTTTCGAAAGACAAGAACTCGGACTCAAAACACCCACATTTTTTATCTCAGACCTGAGGTATGTGCCCTTGACCGGAATGGAACCCAGGACCCTTCTGTCTGTAGGTGGATTCTCTATCCACTGAGCCAAACGGGCTAGGGCAAGGTTATAGTTTTTTTATGTTATGGAAAAATCAAAATGCCCAGTGAGAAGTGTGACACTGTTAAGTAAAGGTCCCATGTCTCAATATGCTATCTCAACAACAACAACAACAACAACAACAACAACAACAAAAAGAATGATACAGAAAAAGTTTGAAGATTATGGCTGAGAGTTTTTCTCGATTAATAAAATATATCAAGCCAGGGAGGGCAATGGTAAGATATGTACACATATAATAATTTTTAAAATATATATATTTTATTAATTTTGTACAGAGAGGAAGGGAGAGAGATAGAGAGTTAGAAACATCGATGAGAGTCATCGATCAGCTGCCTCTTGCACACCACCTACTGGGGATATGACCGCAACCAAGGTACATGCTCTTGACTGGAATTGAACCTGGGACCCTTCAGTTCCCAAGCCGAAGCTCTATCCATTGAGCCAAACCAGTCTTGGCCACATATAATAATTTAATTTAAAAAAATCAAGCCATAAATAGTAGAAGACATACAAAGCCAAGAAGGATAAATGCAAAGCAAGCCATACTTATGCACATCCTAGTAAAACTGCTAAAACTCAAAGGCCTCCCTGCTCCCTATCTTCCTCTCCTGCCCTCCTCCCCTCCCCCAAACAAACTTAAAGTGCTAAAGAAAAGAAGAGAGATTACCTTCAAAGGAGAAAGAACAAAACCTACAGATGTTTACCCATAGAAACAATGAAAATCCAAAGACAAAAATAACAATATATTTAAATTACAGAGATGAAATGACTGCCAATATACAAGTCTGTGCTAAGTAAAATATTCTTTGTGAAAGAATAAACTTTTTGTGTTGAAAAACTGCAGAACATCACACCCACATTCAAATAAGTACCAAAGGTGTTCTTCTGGCAGAAGGAAAATACTCCATACAGAAGAGAGAGACACATCGATTGATGACCTTCCTGACCAAGTCCGGGAGCCTGCACTCTCTGGGCCGATGCTCTGTACACTGGCCAAACCAGCTAGGGCAGAAGTATCAGTTAAGATTAGACTGAGTACTTCTGAAGTTGACTAAGATGGAGTAGTCTACTTCAGACTATCTATTTTTAAAAAAATTTATTTTACTGCTTTTTTTACAGAGAGGAAGGGAGAGAGCTAGAGAGCCAGAAACGTCGATGAGAAAGAAACATCGACCAGCTGCCTCCTGCACACCCCCTACCGGGGATGTGCCCGCAACCAATGTACATGCCCTTGCTGGAATCGAACTTGGGACCCTTCAGTCCGCAGACCGACGCTCTACCACTGAGCCAAACCATTTTCGGCCAGACTATTTAAAAAAATATTTTTTTTTTATTAATTTTTTTACAGAGAAGAAGGGAGAGGGATAGTCAGAAACATTGATGAAAGAGAAACATTGATCAGCTGCCTGCTGCACGCCCTCTACTGGGGATGTGCCCACAATCAAGGTACATGCCCTCGACTGGAATCGAACCTGGGGCCCTTCAGTCCACAGGCCAACGCACTATCCACTGAGCCAAACCGGTTAGGGCTTATATGATATTCTTAAAAACACAAAGCTAGCCGAGACCGGTTTGGCTCAGTGGATAGAGCATCGGCTTGGGGACTGAGGGGTCCCAGGTTCGATTCCGGTCAAGGGCATGTACCTTGGTTGCGGGCATATCCCCAGTAGGGGGTGTGCAAGAGGCAGCTGATCGATGACTCTCTCTCATCGATGTTTCTAACTCTCTATCTCTCTCCCTTCCTCTCTGTACAAAATCAATAAAATATATAAAAAACAAAAAACAAACAAACAAACAAACAACCCCCCCCCCCCCCAAAGCTATAGGATGAAAAATAGTAGTTGGTAGGGAGTAGGTGTGGGGTGTTTTGGGATGATAATCTGCTTTCTATGTCTATAGATTCTCTTTCCCTCCACAGGGCTCTCTGTTGTTGATTCTGGAGGGCTGCCGTTGTCCATCGAGTGACTTTTCCAAACTGCTTTTGCAAAGATTGTCATGTGTGGTCACTAAAGTCTCAGTTTGTCATCTCAACAGTCAGCTAGTGATGGGAAGATATTTTCTTAAATGCCTGGAGACAGAAACAGAAAAAAACTCCTGTAGTCTTTGCATATTGGCCCTGAGCCAAACTGACTACAACTCTGCCTTAGCCCGCACCTCCCGTTTATTGTGGAATCCAAATATCAGCCAGAGGGGTAAATCTCAGATCCTCTCAGGTCTTTTCTGAGCATGTGTCTGGCCGTGGGCATGCATCTCATACTTCAGATTCCCCAGAGTGCTCGGGACCCCTCCACAGCTCTTATTCCCCCAAGAATCTTCCTCATCATACGCAGGCTTTTTGATCTGCCTGTTTGCCTCATCCTCCATTCCTTGCCCCAGACAGCCATGAGTACCATATATCTTTAAGTGCTTTCATCAAATGCCACCCAGAATGCCACTTCAATCTGACAGGGGCAAAAATAAAGGTTAATCTCTGTGCTGGTCCCTTAGGAAACCACCAGACAGGTCAAATGCATGACCACAGTATTTAAAAATGAGGTCCATATTTATTGCTTTCCCTGATACCTATAAGCTGTCCCAGAAACATGGGCCATGGAATTAGCAGAGTTCCCTACTCTGCTAATTCCATGATGTCACTTCTGTCACAGGTCCTTTGGAATGCAGTTTGGTTCTGTGTAGTAAATCTAAAGATACTCAAATCAGCAATTCTGCTCCTCATTGTTCACCCTAGCGCAGTGACTCTTCACTGAGAACATCTGGGAAGGCCTGGAGACATTTTAGTTTTCACAAGTGGAGGTATACCGAAGGCATCTATTGGGCAAAGCCATGGATGCTCTATCCACTGAGCCATACCGGTGAGGGCGGTTTGCTTCCATTTTAAAGAACACCATGTAATATAAAATGAATTACGTTGTAAGCTTGGAAGCAGATAAACTGGAATATAAGCAGTGGTCACCTCAGGTGCTGGGCTTTAGCATGGTTTTGTTCTCTTTTTCCTCGTTATAGTTCACTTAAAAAAACGTCTTGACGAATCACGTATCACCTGTGTCAACTGTTTCTTGCATAATGGGCACGTGTGTGTGTGTGTGTGTGTGTGTGTGTGTGTGTGTGTGTGTGTGTGTGTGTGTGTTTCTTTTTTAATTCCACAATAACCAGGCAGCCTGGTTTATCTATCAGGTGAGGGTAGTATCCAGGTCCTCCAGGGTAATGATGGGCCCACCAGGTGCAAACGAGGAAGGCCAAGAGCCCAGGCCCAGCGGGGGGCGAGGGGGCGGTCCAAAGGGCACCACCCGGTGGGCGTCACGTGCTCGCCGCCGGCCAATGGCAGCCTCCCGAGCCCACCTGGGGGCGGGGCGGGGCGGCCAGCTGGCGTCACCAGGACAACGGGCGTTGCCGGCGCCGTGTGACTCCGGGCTGTGGGCGCGCTGGCGGCTGTCCGCCATGGTGAGTGTGTGGCCCGCGCGGCCCGCCGCCCCGCCCGGCCCCGCCCGGGCCCGGTCCCCGCGAGGCCGGCTGCGAGGTCCCGGCGGGCGGCGGCGGCGGCGGCGGCGGCGGGGTCGCGGGAGGCCGGGCCGCGGCCTGCGGGGCGGCGGGCGGCGGGCGGCGGGCCGCGCGGGGCGGGCCCGGGGGAGGGGGCCCCGGAGGACGCGGGACGCCCGCCGGCCCCTGGCGCCCGCGGCCCGGCTTCTCTCTGCCCGGGGAGGTCTGGGTCGCTGCTGGGACCCCCCACCCTCCTCCCTGCGGACCGCCGGACAGACGGCGTGACGCTGTTTTGGCTGAGGATGGCCTGGGAAGCCGCCCAGAGAGGGTGTGGTGAAAAAAAAAAAAAAAAAAAAAAGGATGCGTATCATCCAAAGCCTATATATGCGTATGGACACGATTTCTTGCAGGCTCTGTGCTGCTGCCTGTCTGGTTTCTGCAGTGATAGATTACGTTAAAAAAAAAAATAGAATACGTGTGTGTGTTTCTTTCTCATCCATCCTTCTCTGGCAGGTTGTTGTTTTTCTTCTTAGTACGTGAGAATTTAAACTTGTAATTTTGGAGATTTCCCCCCTCCTTTTTTTTAATTTTTATTTTTAATGGGGGCATTCAGCTGGCGGTGTTCATTCGGGTGCAGCACCCGCAGGGATTTGATGGAGAGAAGCTGTGTGCGTCGTCAGTCACTCCTCGGCCCAGTAACTCGGGTGGGCATGCCACCTGGCCCCCGGGAAGCTCGCTTTTAAACCCTGACTTAGAGGGACAGGATTCAGGGAACTGCCAGCCAAAGATGGATTTCCCCCCCGCCCACAGGACCCCAAAGGCTGTCAGAGGACTCTGCGTGGGGACACACCTTTGGTGTACAGTGGTCGGCAAACTGCGGCTCGCGAGCCCCTTGCGGCTCTTTGGCCCCTTGAGGTTTGTTTTTTTTTTAAGCAAAGGCCAGCTTAGGAATACCCTAATTAAGTTAATTAACACGGTACCTACCTATATAGATAAAGTTTAAAACATTTGGCCCTCAAAAGAAATTTCAGTCGTTGTACTATTGATATTTGGCTCTGGTGACTAATGAGTTTGCCGACCACTGGAGGATATTGATTTAGAGGGGGTGGGTGGTAATAAGGAGATGCCTGTTTTTAAGAAACAGTTTTTTGTTTGTTCATGTTTTTTTTTTAAATATTATTATTATTATTATTATTTTACATATGTGTTCTTATCCCCCCTTATCCCCTACCCTCCACTCATATTCCACCCCCCTGTTATCTGTGGCCATTGATGAGGCTCATATGTATGCCCACAAGTCCCTTGGTTGATTTTTCCCTCTTACTGCCAGCGATCCCCTCCTTCCCTGGGGTTTGAGGTGTTTGTTTTAAACCATCAGTGATTTAGTGTAGATTAGTGGAAGTATGAATAAGCTGAGGGTGCAGGGTGCTTTTCAAGTGCCAGTTGGCTTTCTGGAGAGAGAACCTACCATGTGGAACCCTGGCAGGCTCTGGCTTTTACCAAGGAGAGGGATCGGAGGAGGAGAAGGTGGATGGTCTTTATGTCTCATTGGCCCTGAGAAAACAAGTGCCAGGTGAGCAGCTTGTTGGTAACAGGAAAAGCACACCAACCACAAATAACACAATGTCTTTATTTTGCGTTTCTTTTGACTGCTTAACTGCTTTAACGTGACAAATGAATGGAGCCAGAAAGACTTTCAGAAAATGAATTTTACCAAGCTCTTGTGTTTTATTTTTTATTTATTTTAAAAATATATTTTATTGATTTTTTTTTTTACAGAGAGGAAGGGAGAGGGATAGAGAGCTAGAAACATCAATGAGAGAGAAACACCAACCAGCTGCCTCCTGCACACATCCCCCACCCCCCTACTGGGGATGTGCCTGCAACCAAAGCACATGCCCTTGACCAGAATGGAACCTGGGATCTTTCAGTCTGCAGGCTGACGCTCTATCCACTGACCTAAGCCGGTTTTGGCAAGCTCTTATGTTTTAAATCTAGCAGTGATTTGCTTTTATATGTTACTAGAGGCCCGGTGCATGAAATTTGAGCACCAGTAGGATCCCTAGGCCTGGCAGGCAATCAGGGCTGATCAGGGCCTTCCTTCGTTCCATGCCGCCCCCTGGTGGTCAGCCCACGTCATAGTGAGCAGTCAAACTCCCCATGTCTTGGTCGAACTCCCAAGGGGACAATTTGCATACTAGGTTTTTATTTACATACATTGACAGATATAGTAGGGAGAAAGGAGGCATATTCAGGAATTAGTGCCCATAGCTCTCTGAAATCTTGTGTTCCTCCTATTGGCCATTTTCTTTTTCTTCTCTTTCCTCCACCCATTCTATTCTGACCCACAGTTCACCTCTACTCACTTGTGAATTTTGGAGTTTTATTGATGCTAAAATAAAAGCATTTTGCTGTAATATATTAGTGGTTGCTTTGCTTTTAGATTTAGAAATGCTTTGCTTTTTGTGTATTGTTAAACATTAAGAATTTATTTCTTGGAAGGAATTCAGTTGAGTGAAAAGCTGATGTGTGGGCTCCAAGGAAGGTGGGAAATGAATGGTTGGTATAGGAGGGGACAGGAGGGGGCTGCCTATATGATCCCCAAAACTGTATTCAAGATTATAGCATTACCCGTCATTAAATGCTTGCTTTTAAACACACAACTTTAGAAGCTGATAAATGACTTTGCATGTGAATTTTGGAATTCTGTTTTAACTCTTTCTCTATGAAATTTTCTGTAGTTAAGCCTCTTGTATTGCTTCTATAAAAATAGTGACAGCTGACATTTATTTTGTATATTCTATGTGTGAGAGATTTTCTAAGGACCTATGTCTTATGTAACCATCACAACAACCCTATGGAGGAAGATACCATTTTTCCATTTTAAAGACAAGGAAATTGAGGCACAGAGAGGTAAAGTAACTTGCCCAGGTCACCCAGCTGATATATTGAGCCACATTTCAAAATCAGGCACTTTGTCATAGAACCTGATAATGTAAACACTGGATTATACTGTAATATATACTGTATCATTATATGGTACAGTATATGTTTGCCATATGTTTGCCATATATATGTTAGGAAAGTAGTTTTCTTATTTAGATTTTAATGTTTTGAGCACTTAATGAATATTGTATTTTGTTGTTCTTGGCACTGGAATAGATGCTACAGAGCAGAGTCGCCTGGCCTGGTCTTTCCCCCCTTTCCCTCTCCCTCCCCTCTTTCACAAAGATGAAATGAGGAGGAATTGATGAAGACAGGTTATTAGATTAGGGTTCATATTCATGGCTGTAATAGTATCGAATATTCCTCCTGTCATTTCAGATTATGTTCAGGAAATGACACCTACCTTTTGTGAATCACAAAGACCAATGTCTTATATAAAGGCATTTAGACTTGGGATAAAATGTTTAAAAAGTAAAATTTTTATTTTCTGCCGAAACTGTTTTGGATAGAGTGTCGGCCTGTAGACTGAAGGGTTCCAGATTTGATTCCGGTCAAGGGCATGTACCTTGGTTGTGGGTACATCTCTGGTGGGGGGTGTGCAGGAGGCAGCTGGTTGATATTTCTCTCTCATTGATGTTTCTAGCTCTCTATCCCTCTTCCTTCCTCTCTGTAAAAAATAAAAAAAAATATATTTAAAAAATTTGTTTTCCAAGTTTTTTTCTAATAGTAATTTTTACATTTGTTTTAGTTGTATGTTCTAAAATTGTTGCAAAAAAACATCAAGCAATGGTTTGAATTTTAATTCATGTGGGTCAAAATGTGCATTAGGACATTGATGGCCATCACGTTTTTGTTAGTGCTTAATACTTGATCATACAGTCTTCCCATTTTCATTTATTCTCTTGGCTCCGCTCCTGTTTTGGCACTTTCCTTTCTATGCTGGTGTTGGGAAGCACAAGGTGGAGGGGAAACTTTACAATAAAGTATATCTGATGTCGAAGGACAGTTTTGGTCTATTTGCCATATAGTCAAGAGAGCTTATGTAATGAGATCTGTGTTAATAGATTGTGAAAAGAAGAGGTTTCTCTTATTTATTTATTTCTCTTGACAGTCTTGGTTTCCCTTTTTCTTTATAGGCATATATATCTTGATTTCAGAGAGGGAGGGATAAGAGAAAGATAGAAACATCAATGAGAGAATCGTGGATGGGCTGCCTCCTGCGCGCGCGCGCACGCGCGCGCACACACACACACACACACACACACACACCCACTGGGAATTGAGCCTGAAACCTGGGCATGTTCCCTGATTGGGAATTGAACCTATGATCTCCTGGTTCCTAGGTCGATGCTCAACCACTGAGCCGGGCCGGCTGGACTTGGTCTCCCTTTTGTCTGCACTGGGGAGCATAATTTTTAGTAATTGTAACAATAATTCTTTTTCATAGAGCCTTTCACTTGCCTAGTTTTAGGCTGATTATTTCACATCTCATTTAATCCTGCCATTATCCCTAGAAGATTGGCATTATACCCATTTAACATTCTCAGATTGATTAGGCTGTTTGCTCAAGGTCAAATAGTTGGCCAGTAACAGAGCCAGGATTTGAACTCAACCGGTCTTCAAAATCTGGCTTCTTAGCCTTTATACCATGGCTTCTTTCCAAATTAAAGAATGTGCCTAGTGCCTGGCTTAAATGTACTACACCAAGATTAGGATTCTTATCAGCTGAGCCAGCAAGTTCTTTTTTATTTTATGATAAACTCTCTATTTGTAATGTCTAGTGACACCTGCAGGTTTTACTTGACTACCCTCCTCACCACCACCACCCTGCCCCCCCTCCACAGACCAACAAAACTCAGATAGGAACAGCCATGGGCCTCTGCCTTCCCTACCTCGTTTTGTGTCTCACCTGTACCCTGTACTGTCTGCCTCAGCACTGCCACTTGCAGCACTGGAGTGGCTATGAAAGGGATGGGACTGGAGCAGAGGTGTCTAAGGAGGTGGAACAGGGCAGTGACTGGGAAAGTTTTTGTGAAGTCAGAATTATACAACATGTGGCCTTTTGTTTGTATCTTCTTTCATGTGACATAGTATTTCAAAGGCTCGTTTCTGTTGTAATATATATTAGTACCTATTCTTTAAAAAAAAAATCTTTATTGTTCAGATTATTATAGGTATTCCTTTTTTATTTTTCCTCATAGCTCCCCTCCACCTGATTGCCCGCCCCACTCCATGCGCTTACCCCCCAATACTGTCTTCATCCATAGGTGTAAGACTTTTGTCCAATCTCTTCCCACACCCCTCAGACTCTCTTTCCCCTGAGAACTGTAAGTCCATTCCCTTTCTATGTCCCTGATTCCATTATATTCACCAGTCCATTCATTCTGTTCTTCAGACTTTTTAAAAATTTTTAAAAATTAAATTATAATCTGTGTACATATTCGATTCTCCCCCCCCCCCCCCCCCCCCCCCCCGTTCTTTAGACTTTTTATTCACTTGATTTTTAGATTTACTTGTTGGTAGATATGTATTTGATGTCCTTTTGTTGTTCATAATTTTTATCTTTACCTTTTTCTTCTTCTTTCTCTTCTTAAAGAATATCTTTCAGCATTTCATGTAATCCTGGTTTGGTGGTGATGAATTCCTTTAGCTTTTTCTTGTCTGTGAAGTTCTTTGTCTGACCTTCAATTCTGAATGATAGCTTTGCTGGGTAGAGCAATCTTGGTTGTAGGTTCTTGCTATTCATCACTTTGAATATTTCTTGCCACTCCCTCTGGCTTGCATAGTTTTAGTTGAGAAATCAGCTGACAGTCATATGGGTACTCCCTTGTAGGTAACTAGTTGTTTTTCTCTTGCTGCTTTCAAGATTCTCTAAAAGTCTTTTGCCCTTGGCATTTTAATTATGATGTGTCTTGGTGTGGTCCTCTTTGGATTCCTCTTGTTTGGGGTTCTGTGCGCTTCCTGAACTTGTAAGTCTATTTCTTTCACCAGGTGGGGAAAGTTTTTTGTCATTATTTTTTCTAATAGGTTTTCAATATTTTGCTCTCTCTCTTCTTCTGGCACCCCAAAAATTCTGATGTTGGTACAGTTAAAATTGTCCCAGAGGCTCCTTACATTATATTCATATTTTTGGATCCTTTTTTCTTTTTGTTTTTCTGGTTGGGTGTTTTTTGTTTCCTCGTATTTCAGTTCTTTGGTTTGATTCTTAGTTGAGTTTCTGTATATTATTTATTTCAGACAGTGTATTCTTAATTTCTGACTGGTCCTTTTCCATTTTTTTTTTTTTTAATTTTTAATTATTTTTTTTTTTCATTCTCATTAAGGTCCTTGAAGGTCTCATCAAGTTTCTCAGCAGTTTTTAGAAGATTTTTGAGTAACCTTATAAATGTGGTCCTGAGCTCCATGTCATCCCGTAGTTTGCTTTCCTCCATTGCTCCCTTTTGCGACATGCTTCCCTGTGTCTCTGCATTTTGGCTGCTTCCTGGTGTTAATGGAGTGGCTTTGTGTGGTAGGTGATCCACAGGGACCAGTAACTCAGCCTCCCCAATCACCCGAGGTGGACGGTCTTGGTACATCCCTTTGTGGGCTGAATGCAAAGTCTTGGTGTAATTAAGTCTTGATTGCTGTTGGTACCCTGGGAGGAATTGTGTGTGGGGACCCGCTGTGTTTATAATAGAAGAACTGCTGCACTGGAGACACGCTCATGGTGCAGGACTTGTTTTAGTGGGGCTTTGGTGCTCACTGAGTCTGCCTCTTGAATGTGTCGCTTATGGATGTGAGGAGTTGAAATCTGTTTCTCACACTGACCACTAGGTACACTGGCTTCTGGATCTCCAATGGGGTACAGGTCAGCTACTGTATAAGGTCACCCTGTAGGACAGGCGTCTTCAAACTACAGCCCGCGGGCCACATGTGGCCCTCAGAGGAGTCTGATCCGGCCCACCAGGTTTTTTGGGCAGTGAGCGCAGCCAAGGTGTTACAGTAGGAATTAGTAGTTCATATAGTCTGGCCCTCCAGCTCTCTGAGGGACCGTGATCTGGCCCCCACTTTAAAAAGTTTGAAGACGCCTGCTGTAGGAGCTATAGCAAGAACTATAGTCCTCTCCTCCCTGCTTGGGATTTGTAGATTATGGAGCTGTCTGAGCTGTTGTTTGCAAGTTAGCAGTGATAGTGAAGGCCATTCATATGCAAAGGCCGCTGCTTAGAGCTTGGGTGTGTTTGTAGATTGTGCAGGCCAGTGTCTCAGGGCATCACTAGGCTAGGGCATGGCAAACAGCAATGTCTGGCAGTGAGCCATCCTGTGCCTCGAGTCTCACTGCCCAGCACAGCAAACAATTATTCCTCTGTGTAGCTCTGCAAACCATCCACCCTCATTTTCCGACCTGATGGCAGACAGTCCAGCTTCTCCCCTTTGGGTTGAAGAAAGCAACACCCGCCGCCAGCTGGGATCCATCGCCAGCCCGTATCGTGCGCCCCTGTACCTCAGCTTTTCAGTGTTTGTACACTGAATGCTCCTCTCTCTGACTGGTGTGGAGCTTCCACTCAGCCAGCCCTCTGGTGGGTCTGGGTGATAGACATTTTGTTTTTTAGTTGTAGTTTTGAAATTGTTGTGCATGGCCACAGTTTAGGTATGTTTACCTATGCTGCCATCTTGGGTTCTCAGTATCTCATTCTTTTTGACTGGTGAATAATTTTCCATTGTATGGATATACCACACTTTATTCATTAGCTGATGGACATTTGGGTTATTTCCACTTTTTGGCTATTATGAATAATGCTGCTATGATAGCCATGTACAAGTTTTTATATGGATATATTACCTGTTGTTGGAATAGTTGGTTCATATGGTAACTTAATGTTTAACCTTTGAGGAACTGCCAGACTGTTTTCCAAAATGGCTCTATCAGTTGTGTATGAGTGTTCCAATTCCTCCACAATTTATAAACACTGTACACTAACATCACCACAAACGACATGAGTAATGATCACATTACGATGTTATGATGGCTGTGATATCACTAGGGTGATGGGAATTTTTCAGTTCCATTATAATCTTATGGGACCACTATTGTATAGGTGGTACTTCATTGACCCAAGCATCATCTGGCAGTGCATGACTTTATTTTGGCTATTTTGGATCTCTTGCATTTCCATATTAATTTTAGGATCAACTTTTAAACTTTTCAATAAAAAGGCTGCTGGCATTTTTATAGAGATTTCATCAAATCTTTGGATCTGTTTGAGAATGTCGCTAACTTAACCACTTAAATGTTCCAATTTGTGAACATGGGATGTGAGTGTATTTATCTTTTTAAATTTCTCTCAATGTTTTATATAAGTTTTCAATATATGTCTTGTACTCCTCCCCTCTTTTTTTTAAAAAAAATTGATTGATTTCAGAGAGGAAGGGAGAGAAAAATAGAAACATCAATGATGAGAATCATTGATTGGCTGCCTCTTGCACACCCCCTACTGGGGATTGAGCCAGCAACCCAGGCATGTGCCCTTGACTGGAATTGAACCTGGGACCCTTCAATCCGCAGGCCAATGCTCTATCCACTGAGCCAAACTAGCTAGGGCTGTCTTGCATTTCTTTAGTTAAATTTATTCTTAAGTATTTTATTCTTTTTAATGCTGTTGTAAATAAGATTGTTTTCTTAATGTCAGTTTCAGGTGCTCATTGCTAATATATGGAAATATAATTTATTTTTATATAATAACTATATTGTATATTTTATATAGTATCCTGCAACCTTGCTGAACTCCTTGATTAGTTCTGATAGAATTTTCTATTACATATTAGAATTATCTATATACTGGTACAAAATTGTTACCTATAAACAGAGATTGTTTTGCTTCTTCCTTTCCATCAATATGCCTTTTATTTATTTTCTTGCCTAATAACCTTGGTTAGAACTGCCAATACAAAGTAGTATAAAAATGGATATTACTGTTTTTATAAAAACAGTGAGAGGGTATAAACTATTCTTATAGCTATCATATTAAAGTGTGGTGGCTTTATGAAATTGGTGTCATACCTACAGGACAGTGATTGGGGCTGTTCTGATCTAAGAAACACGTAACTTAAAAAAAAATTTGATTGAGGAGCACTAACAGTTTTCCTTTTTTCTTTTTCCTTTAGGTTTTCTCAAATAATGATGAAGGCCTTATTAACAGAAAGTTACCAAAAGAACTTCTTTTAAGGTAAATGTAGATAAACTTTAGATAAAGAACTCAGATTTGGTTCCGTCATGAAATTCCAAGACAGTCTTCTTTCTCACTGTGAGTCCGTAGCACAGAAAAACAGCCAGAATTAGCCTAACCGACTTTTTGTTTTTGTTTTATAGAATGCTGTTCAGCTTGTTGTTAAATTTTACTTGGTCTAATCCAGAATGTACTAAGTATGTACATAGCATTGGTCTGGATTCTTTTTGTAATGTGGTAAGTATTGTAATAATCTTCAGTAGGTGCCATTGTCTTGGTATCAGTAGATAATTCCAATGTAGTCCATAACTCAAGGAGAGACTTGTTAAGGTTCTGAGCTCCTGAAATCCTAGACATTTAGTTGTTTTCTAATAAATTGGTTTTAAAAGAAGTAATTTATGTTCTTACTGAGCATTTAAAACGTTCTCAGCTCCAATATTGATATATTTTTAAACATTTTATGAGAATTGTGTGCTACGTGACAGTATGTACTACAGAAACTATGCTCTTTGTTCTTGGTTTCTGGCATCCCTGAATATGTAGCAAATGGCATTTTCCTTGTCATTTTTACCAAGTAGAGCTCTCAACTAATATTTGTTGACCCTGAACTGCACTTTCCTTCAGTACTCTGAATCATCAGTTAAATCTTATTTTAGTTTGGTTGTTACATTTTACTTATTAGTACGTATATCCATGGTAATCTTTGAGTAGCATTTCCTAGACTCTTCTCATATCCTTGATGTTTCACCAAATAAAACGAAAAAAACAGTGAACAAATAAGTATGGGAAACACTAGGTTAACAAAACCAATTTCTTCACTGCGTGACTTCTCAGAGCCTTAGTAAGCCAATAGGCATAGCGATGCTCCCTCATGGATAGCTGTGGCATTTAAACTCACCATGGCACCCTTAATATTCCATGGGAAAAAATTTGGGAGATGCTGACACACAGTAAGAGACTGACCAGATGACTCCATTCCCTGGCTGTGCTAGATCTCATGTTAACTTCTAGGGAACGAGTATGAATTCTGTTTACATATTGGAGTTCATCACAGAGTCACTGTAAATGCCACAGCTGACTAACCTTTGCTGTCCACAGTGTGTTAGACTTTTTTCTTGAGCCAGAAACGGAGTGAGGACTTAGCTTCTTTGTGGTGGTGATCACATTTCTGGGGCTTCCGAGGGTATCTCATTAGTCATCAGGTGTTGTTTGTCACTGTTGTCATGAGCTCACTCTACTCTGTTAACAAAAAGGAAAGTTAACTCATGACAGGATCATGTTAAAAAAAGGCATCAACTATATTTTATTTCAGTAAAACAAATAGTTGTTTGGGTCAGACAATATTTTTGGCAGTTTTAGGGCATTTTAAAATTAAGCCAGTGGTAAGGAAGGAATGATATGTTTATCATATAAACCCGCAAGATCTTGGTTTGGCGTCATAAGCTGCTAGAACCAATATGACCGGGTTAGGGTGGGCAGGCTGTTGGTAGACAACTGTAGGGATGCCACCTACAACACACTGCAAAATGGACGTGTCCCCTACTGTCCAGTGCTTTGTTCCTGGTCTGCACACGTGGCACAGACATCGAGCTGTAATACGAATATGTCATCTTTACTCTGAGGAATCAGAACCAGCTCCAGGCTGACCCATCTTAGTCATTCGTGGGGTGTGATTAAACTCCACTCGTGAGCACTGCTGCTGTAGGTGACTCGAGGCTGCTAACTTAGTATGCTTTCCCTTCTGGCAGGTTTAGCTTTTATACCGTACTCAGTCATGGAACAGTTTCTATCTATTGAACAAGCAAGCAAGCAGACACACAAACAAAAAACACAAAGCGGAATTATATTGCCTGGCTGGTGCTGCTCAGTGGTTGAGCATCGACCTATGAACCAGAGGGTCACGGTTTGATTTCTGGTCCAGGGCACATGCCCAGGTTGTGGTTCAGTCATTGGGGGGCGTGCAGGAGGCAGCTGATCAGTGATTCACATCATTGATGTTTTTCTCCCTTTCTTTTCCTCTTTGAAATCAATAAAAATATCCTATATAACAAAAGGGTAATATGCAAATTGACCCTAACGGCAGAACGACCCCTCGACCAGTCACTAGGAGATGCACTGACCACCTCTTGGTGTCTTTCCCCGGGTGGGTGGCGGGCATGGGATGTGGGTGGCACCAAGCCAAGGTCCCCACCCCGCCAGTCACCCCACACACAGAGGACAACCCTCGGCAGGGTGCGGAGCCGGCGAGTGGGTGGGAACGCCTGACCTCTCAGTCTCTTCCCCTGGCAGTCAGGCTTCAATCGCCCAGGGGTGGACAGGGAACCAGGGTGGGCGGCGGCGGCGGGGGGTGGCCTGGCTGCCAGCAGCCAGGGAAGATGGCCCTGGTTGTACACGCACAGATTTCGTGCACCAGGCCTCTAGTATTTAATAAAGGGAAGGGAACTATATTTCTGTGCTAGTGTGATTTCTGAACTGCTGTTTTACAACTTGTAGTTCTTTTAAAGATCCATGATGGAGCTAGCTGTTAAGAATCCTGGAGTTACAGTTTTTGAATTATGCCACAAGGCTCATACATAGATAATTTCTGTTAAAATTGCCATTTGAGAGCAAATATACATAATGTATCTATTCACTTGTGTTCTTATTTTGGGACCTCTAAGGGGGATTTAAGTTGTCAAGTGCTGCCATACAGGTCGCCTCTGGTTCATGAGTCTCAAAACTAACTGTAGCCAATACGGTATTTTAGTTTTTGTTGGCCTTTAACCATTTCTGCCATTTTACTCTCAGACTTTGTATTATAAGTAATAGTAGCTCTCCCTTTGCCTCGCTAACCTTTCTGAACAAACTTCTGAAGGGTCTGAGCCTGTTACCAAAGCAGCCATCCTCCTCCAGCCATCAGGCAATTCCCCAGTCACGCCAGCGCGTGCAATGGTCTCCGCCTTGTGAGCTTAAGTGTTTGTTATTTTTGCTCAGTTAAATGATGCCTTCATACTTGGTTTGTCCTAGGCTTATGTTTTAGCTTCCTATTGTAGGCTTCTTTGTGACGCTGCAGGCTGTGGTTTCTGCTCTTGTTGAATTCCAGCTCACTAGCAGTCTTACTTCATCAATAGGTGTGGTTCTTTGACTTGAGAATCTTACTTGTAGCTGAGGTCATTTTCTTTTCTGACATTTTTACTGCATCTGTCACCACCCTCTTAAATCTCTACCAGCTCCCATCACTGGGCACATCAAGTGAAGCCACAGCCTCCTCTTTGGCCCATTCACAAGCATGACCTGGGGTTATGTGCTTTTCTTCATCTATTTATGTTACTTTGAATCACTTGGAAAAATCTGTGAGTTTTTTTCATCAGATCATCTTCTTGCTAGTTTTAAAACAACTCAGTGTTATTAACTCACAGATTTCTTTTACCGCCCATTTTCAGTTTGTTACTCAACACGTTTTTGTAATTTTGCTTTTTCTACCCGGCTTTCACTCATAAATTAAAGGTACTCAGGTTCTCCTCTCTGCCCTTCGCCCTCACACAGTTCAGCCATACAGCCTGTAATTTCACTCTTCCTTGGGAGTCAGTTTTGTGATGCTTATAACAATGGGGATATTTAATTTGTTGTTATTGGGAGTAAATATTTTTAAACATTCTAAAAACACAAAGCTCTTGTTAGGTACAATAGTGAAATCTCTTTTCAGAGATATTTTTAAAAACTTAAATCACCATTTTTTATGTCATTTCCTTCCCTTTTTAAATGTATGTGGATACATGACATAATTAAGCACTAATAGTGTTCGTTGGCTTGAGGAAGGAAGTTTTGATTGCCCCAAAGAGGATTGCTGAGCCTAATAATTCTGAGCAAATGAAATCAACAACACAATTACATCTAATTTGCCAGTTTAGTAGTTTGCCAGGGAAAATTATAAAATGACTGGCACATAAATTTCCAAATTTTCCTTTTCTAAAATTTAGAAGCCAATTCTGTGGGCAAAAATAATTGTGGGTTTTGTTGCAATCATTAAGTTACAGCCCAGTGCTTATGGGTAATGTTGGGACCTTGGGGAGCAGTGCGGTGAAGGACTCATTCCTGTTTGGGCATCATGAGTGGGCGTCCTTCCTGCTGGTTGGTTTCAGCACTCCGTGGACTTCTTCAAGGACTGGTGTCTCCACCTCCTGCTGTCTGTGACACCTTATATTCATTCCAAGGCAGCTGAAAATCCTACCTAAGCTGCTTTTTTTTCTTTTTTTTTTTTGGGGGGGGGGGGAGGTCTGCAATTTCAAGTTGGAGCATCTGTTCAAATTTTTCTTTTTTATTGAGTTTTTTTGTTGTTGTTCATTCATTTTCATAGTTGTATTTGTCTTGCATAAAGCAAAACAAGACTAAATTAATGTGTTGAATCAGATACAGAAGCTTATAGGCCCATTCTTTTTATTGCCTCTGTATACTATTATATTAACTATTTCAGGGTTGACAATTAAGGCCAGATCATAGAAACAGCAAAATTTCTTCAGTCTGGGTTAGAGTGATGCTTATACATTAAAACTCTGATGATGTATTTGGATTTTTTTTTTTTTATAGCTACACCGAGATGGCATGAAACACCAATAAAACTCCACAGATAGGATGAATCTGTGGCGATTGTGTTATGTTAGAGATCTGTTAACTTAAAAACTCTGTGTTCAGTAGTTACAACTGAGAAGATTGGTAAATTTGACTGTATGAATATTAAATGTGGCAAAGATAAATAGCAGAGTGGTGGTTGAAGTAACTGGAATATATATTATAAGCAAGGATTATATTCTTCAATATATATATAAAGCGAAAATTATTAAAATTATTAATAATAAAAGTGGATTAGCTCTTAGAAAAAGAGTTTGAAGAAGTATGAACAAAGGAAGAAATTAAATGGCCGATAAAAAGATGCTCAGTCAGGCCCATATTTAAGTATAAAGTCTAAATCAAAATAATGCGTATTGCTCAACTGACTGGTAAAAAAAATGAAGTTTGATGATACCAGGTTTTCGCAAAGAGGTAGGAGACAGATACTTCAGGCACTTTAGAGTTGGGAATATATTTGTAACTATTCTGTGGGGCCACGGGGGGAAAATTCTAAGTGCTAAATGTACATATTCACAAATTCCATTTCTAGGAATTTGCTAAGAGCAGATGTATTAGCAAAGATGTATATACAGGGATGATTACTACAACTTTAAAAAAAAACTAGTTAAATTGGATTACAGAATTGGATT